TCAACTCGATTTTCAATTCGTTGCCTCGTCTCGATGCGGGTCAGGTGATTTAACAAAAGAGCAGCGACGTATAGGAGAGGAATTCCGCTATAAACGAAATGAATAACTATAACTGTGTGAATTTTAATTGCGGGCCGGTATAGTGAGATGGTGTATATAGGTTCTGGACCCGGCATGCAGGCGTTCTGTGCATCTCCCGCCGGGGTGCGAAAGTTCGCCGTGAACGCGCACCACGCGTTAATTATACCCCCGTTGATTGAGTTTTGAGTGGCTGCTCCGCGCCGAGTCGGGGGTCAATTTATTACGTCAGTTCATTTGCGTGCCGTACAAGACGCTGCTGTGCGTGAGTGCGGTGGGTGAGGGAAGGTGAGGCGCATCAGCTTACCCGGGCCAATCGCATTAATCCGAGAAAAAAAAAATTTTATGTGCGCGGCGATGTGACCAGTGCTGCCATCGGCCGGTGATGAGTCATCACGCGCGCACCGTCGCCGTGCGGCGCACGCATACTCGACGTCGTTAAGCATCTGCTGGTGTCAGTAACGCTGGGCGGAACAGTGAATCTTGCTGGCAAACATGATACGCCCCGTCCACGCAAACATCTGCACAGTAAGACTAATGGTCGCTCTAGTCGGACATAAACGACAAGAGGCGAATGCGCCTAGCTATATCATGTGAAACTCTATATAATGCCAGGTTCAGAGGTTATGCACACGTGAGCGTACGCGCCGGTGTGCTCTGGTAACACCTCTGCTGTGAACGCTAAAGCATATATACATGTTACATTGGCATTACATTGTGCGTGCGTGCGTGCGTGCGTGCGTGCTGTTGTGCGTGTGTGTGTGCGTGCGTGCGTGCGTGCGTGCGTGCGTGCGTGCGTGCTTGCGTATGTGTGTACTTAAATGGGTAGCCGGTTAAAGCATTTTATCGGAGAAGACCGAAAGATCTTACAGTAAGACGACAAATAGCTAGGATAAAGATAAGGATTGGCAGACGTTTCGATCCCGGCCTCAGATCACTGTTATTCCCAGTCGAGAAACTGGTCGTCCTACAATGCAGGTTTTCATCAGACCACACAATGACGTTTATTCGCTATCTATCGATCTATTCTATCTCCCCCCTTCTCTCTCTCTCTCCCTCTATATATATATACCGTACTATACTGTCTTGCACTGTTTATATCGTATGCTACCTGTTTGCAAGAATCAGAAGAGAGAATAAAAGAGAGAAAAGGAGAGTGATAAAGGGAGAGATAGATGTCTGAGAGTAGAAAATAGAGAGAGAGAGCGTAAGAGAAAGCGCGCGCAAGCGAGTGAACAAGCGAGCGAGCGAGCGAGCGAAAGAGAGAGAAAGAGAGGGCGCGCGTAAGAAAAAGCGCGCGCAAGCGAGTGAACAAGCGAGCGAGAGCGAGAGAGAGAGAGAGAGAGAGAGAGAGAGAGAGCGAGAGAGAGAGAGAGAGAGAGAGAGAGAGACGAGACGACGACGACGACGACGAGACGTAGAGTGTGAGAGGACGGGACGGACGGAGGGTAGGAGTCGCCGACGACCGCGTCGCCGTCGACTACGACGTCGAGCG